CAGAAATTCTTAGTTTCATCTCGCAATCTTTTTTCTCCTGCATTCCAAGTCCAGGTGGTCATTAAATTCTTTGAAATCCCACCAGTGAAATGTCCCTAACACCGAAACTAGTCTATCCATGTTCAGGATCTTCTTATTCTGTATATAAATTGCTGCTAACTCTGAATTTGTTCTTCTGACTCCAGTGTCTCACCTTTCTAGCAATATTTTCCACTAGATTTATCCCTCACGGTACATAGAACTCCTCTTGTTACTTCAAAAAGTACTGATTGCTTCTTACTTTACTTATTCATCAAATATTTACAAAACACGTAGTTATGTTAGGTTCCATCCTAGGCACTGGTGATCCACAATACACTATACATCTGGTAATGAAAAGAAAGTTCATTTCTTCAAACAGTTCACATTTTGGCATACAAGTGAAGAAATTAATAAGCAATCACAACACAATGTGATTGCTCCTACAACAAAAACCAGGCAGAACTGGATGCGAACATGAGGTTAGAAGAGCATTCCAAGTGTCCTTAGATAGTGGACAGAACAGGTATGGAAGGGATATGGGTGCCAGTTGGAGTTTTCTGACATCTATAATGAGATTTTAAAGGAGGACCCACTGGCTGAAGGCAGCAACAATCTTTTAAACACAAGCCAATGTTCCAGACTTATGTTTTAAGTTTCCTTCCTCACTTTATCCTATGGCCAGTCAGATTCAAAGGTCACTTGCATTTGCAGTTTTGCAAGACTTCTGGAGTCAGAGAATGAGGGAGCTATATGCTGGGAATTATACACACAACTACGTAGATACGCACATTTATAAACATTTTCCATAATGTGGAAAATAGAAATGCTAGTTTGGAAATTTTGTTAGCAACCAATTTTTAAATCTTTTACTTATGGGAAATTTACAGCTTATACAAAAGTAGAGTGAATTATATAATGAATCTCCAAGCCAACTTCAACAGCTACCAACAATGTTCCATCTATAACTAACTATACTATGGTTGACGTGTGTCACTCCCCACCCCCAAATATGTTACAGTCCTAACATCTAGAACCCCAAACTGTGGCCTTATTTAGAAATAGGGTTTTTGCAGATTTAATTAAATAAAGATGAGAATTTTAGGGCAGAAGCTAATTTCATGACAAGTGCCTTTGGAAAATAGGGAAGCATGGCTACTGGCATGTACAGAGGATACAATACGGAGGTAGAGGGGGAGACAGGATTGATACAGCTGCAAGTCTGGCAACCTCAAGAATTCCTGGCTGCCACATATGCCAGGAAAAAACAAGGATGGATTCATCTAGTGTTCAGGGACACTGCCAATATTTTGAACTTGGAACTCTAGGACTGCGAAACAACACATTTCTATTGCTTTACACCACTTTATTCTATACTGACTACTGTTACTGTGGTACTTTGTTAGGGTAAACCCCAAAAACTCTTCCACCAAATTATGCTAAAGCACATCTCAGCCATCAATCACTTTATCCAAAAATGTATTAAACTATTTATTACTTCTACCAAAATTAACATTATTGTTTGCACTTATTTTTGCCCTTAGGATATAAACTACAAATAAACTGCTGTGATATAAAGGAACTTGAAATAATTCTCTATAGTGCTAAGCCACCAACCTGAAACACAATTAGGGTCATTTGTTTCATTAAGTTTTCAATATTTAGAGGTCGTTTTCTCATTTTAATGTAATTTTGGTTTTTAACTTTATGAAATGTTTTCATATTTCAAAAGTCAAAATGATAAAATGAGATACCTTCAAAAAATTCTAGATTATATTCTTGGTCCTGCCATTGTTTTTCTTCCTTTTCTTTACAGGTAACCATTTTTACTGATTTTATTTTTTTGTTCTTTTTAAAGAAATACATAAGTACTTTTATGCTATTCCCTACTCTGTCTTAGATAACAGTACTATACTTACTGTTCTGTTTTGTACTTTTCCCTCTCCTACTAACAATATTCTGGAGATAACCCCACTGAGGAATTTACAAGAGTCTTCTTGATTTCTTTTTATAGCTCATGGAGTTCCATCATGTGGATGTGGCACAGTTTATTCAACCAGATTCCTTGCTAGGCATTTGGGTTGACTCTAATACACTGGGACTTTACATTAGCACAGGACAAAGGTATAGCTTTAAAGAACTTTTTATACTGCTAATAAGCAAACATAATATTTCAAAAATCCTAGTACAAAGTAGACCTGCTAGACTAACATCATGAAAACTACATCAAGACCACCTGTTCTCTCAGACAAAAAAGTCATCTAGGGCCTCAGGACTACTTGCCAGTGTGAAGAAGCTCTCTGTGTACTGACAGGAGGAGAGCTTCAATATACAAGAGGCAGAATATTTTATACTATAATCTGAGAAGAAAAATATAGAAATACTTGTATATGTAGAGATGGGCACTTCCAAATATTGTTACTGACTCTGGTTTGCATCCAATTAAGTGTCGTTTTTCTCCCTCTAACTGTATTTCTATATATGTGTTCTATACTTGTCCAATCCCCTCTCATCCCTCAGCAGCTCCAGTTTGGTTTCTACTCCTACCTACCTTCACTAAGGCACTATGACCTCCACACAGCTAAGGCAGGCCACACTTCAGTTTTTACCTAATTCATCTCTAGGGAGCATCTGACAGTGACTCCTCATTTCCTCTGAGGCACTCTCTTCCTAAGCTACAGTAACTGCATACTTCCTCCCCACTCTTCTCATTTTCCACAAGCCTCAACTTTGGGGACTCATTTTCCTCTACCTGTTCTTTAATCCTTTTTTTTTTTGTACCGGGGATCGAACTCTGGACCTTGTGCTTGCAAGGCAAGAGGCAGCACCACTGAGCTAAATCCCTGGCCCTGCTCTGTAATCCTTAGAGTTCCTTAGGTATTCTGTCATTCTGCCTCATTCCAGGGGCCAGGTTCAATTACAAAGTTACAAGCGAGGTAAGACTTCTCTATTCTCCACTTCCACTTATAAAGGCCATCTACTCCAAACTGCAACTTTGGTTTCCAAGACACCTCAAAGTCAACATGCTTAGAATCAGATTCGTGATGATTCCCTATGACCCATTTAACCTCTTGTTTCTATCAGTGGCACTGTTCTCCATCAAAACCTTGAGAGGCACCTTTGACAACTCCCTTTCTCTCAGCCCCATCATCTAATCAATTCTCCAGCTCTCTTATTCTACCATCTTAACGTGTCTCAAATACACCCACTTCTTCCCACCTTTACTGCTACCATCCTGTTGGGAGCCTTGCCTTCTGTCACGGCTGGGATCTGAATATCCCCTAACAGTCTCACGTGCTCAGATGTGAGGCTTTTGGAAGGTGACTGATCGTAGGGAAGCGTATGGATTCTGGCCTTCCTCCTGCCAGCACCCTCCAGTTCTGTGCTCTCACAGCACTTTGTGCCTTTCCCTCCTGGTCTTCCACAGAATTTGTCATGCCACACCCTGGGTGTCTGGCGTCTTCACCTCATCCTGCACAGTCCGCCTTGCGCTCCACGAGGGCAGGACCTGCATCTCCTCCTGCCCCGCCAGCACCTGGCACAGTGCTCACTCAGCATTGTGAACAGACAAGTGGTCAGGGAAGGTACAAGCTGGGCCTCCAGCTCCAGAGCCTCCAGGATAACCACCCTCAGCCTGGGAGAGCCACAGTAGCCGCCTCTCCAGTCCCCTCTGCCACTTCTCTCCTCTGACCACGGCACCTCAGGCCCAGTCACAGATTTCGCTTTCTTAACCACCTGGGAAATGCTGGTTCCTGGGATTCTGTCCTCTGCTCTGTTCTCTCACCTGGTCAGTTCAAGGCTGCAAATGCCACCTACACACCGAAGGCTCCCTGACCATCCCATGAGTTCCAACCCATCTTTCACTCACCTGCCCACCAGCGATCTCTACCGGGAAGGCCATTCACATCTCAAAGGAAAGCCATCCTGCACTGACCTCCTCCTGTCTCCTTATCAAGCTGGCTCCTCCTTGTTCCCCATCACCCGCACTGTGGGTGCCTCTGTCCGGGCCTTAGCAGCTTCCGGCTTACAAGACTGCAGTGGCTCTGGGAGGCTTCTCACCTCCAGTTCTGCCTTGCATTAAGTTTATCCTCCACATTGCTTCAAAATAACCACTCTCATTAACTTCAAATCCCAAAGGATTTCATAAAAATATACCTGCTTTGTGAAAAATTAAAACGTTGCATGCAAATAAAGCCCATCATCAGATTCATTCCAAAAGTAACTACTGGTGCCAGCTAAGTTGTATCCCCCTAAGCTTACCCAGCTTCCTCCGAAGCTTGCTCTCTGTCCCCAGAAGCATTACACTGCACACAGACACACACATCACTGTCTTTAAACAGCGACGTATCTTAGAGCACTCAGTACCATGCTTCATTCCTTAATGGCCCTTGGCGCTCTGTCCACATCAGTGTGCTCTTCGTTTTAAGTGTGGTGAGGGGTTCCAGAGTAAGGACATACCATAGTTTCTTCAGCTATTTTGTTGAAGGACATTTAAATTGTTTCTGATTTAGATCAATTCTTCTAAACTTCAAGATTCATATAAAACGCTACTTAACTTCTTCAATTATTTTCAGTCATCCATGAGACAGTTCCGGTCTCTTAGAACTGCACCAAAGCACTGCTCCTATGTGGCCCTTACACAGCTTCCTCCTTTCATTTCTTTCCTCGGCTTCTCCTTTTCCTACACCTACCCTCAGCTTCACCCAGAAGGAGTTATTTGCAGTCCCTTAAATATACTGTTTGTTGAATGAATGCATGAAAATGCAGCCCTTCTTGGAAGCAACAGGAAATGACAAGAAGAGAGCCCTGAGAGATTCATTTGAGAAGTGACTACAAGAAAGTGAGAGGAAGTACATGTCTAGGAGCTTGGGCTTTGCCTTTCCCTCTTCTTAAGGACCGAGAAGCTGAAGAAGTTTCCCAGCCAACACGCCAAGCTTCCTCGCCTTCGTATTAACCCAGGTACCTCGGGCTCAATCACTCACCGAGAGAGGGGCCTCCAGGGTTTTCTTTCTCAACCTTCCAGGGATCCTCTCCTTGCTGCAACAGGGAGATCACCCTTGGTTTGGTAAAGGGGAATCCTGCTCACAGACAAAAACTGAATTAATTAAAAATTTGAAAAACAGCAGAGTAAGAGAAACAGACTACAGAAACTGTCTGTGGCCCACAAAGCCTGAAATGTTCACCACCTGGCCCTTTCTAGAGACGTTCTGCTGACACCGAGACAGGCAAGTGCAGGTGCAAGACAACAAATGAAGCCTCTGCCGAGATGAGCCAAGGAACCACAGGAGAACTGCGGTGGGGAAAAGACTGGACCGTGAAGACACCTCCCGTGGGCAACCACACAGAGGGCAGGGAGTGATTCCCAACAGCACCCCCTCTGTTCCTGTGCACGTCCATTCCAGGCCTGTGATCGCGGCGGGTGCTTTCAATTTATTTGTACACACCCAATTTGTACAATCCTAAGGCAAAACTCAGCTGACGTTTTTGATGATCAAGAGCTGCTACTCAGGGAAGGAAGCACTGAGACCTCCCTTTCCCAAACTTGATCGCTGCGGGGAATTTCCTTACCCAGGGAAGTCAGGTTCCTGTAGTTCTCCAGCATGACGTCCCGGTACAAGCTTCTCTGCAGAGCGTCCAGCTTCCTCCACTCCTCCCGAGTAAAGAGCACAGCCACATCCTCGAAGGTCACTGCCACCTGTAAGGACAAGCCACTGCAGCTCACTCAGGACCAGGTCTCAGAGGGAAGAAGGCAGCAGTGGGGAGGCAGAGGCTCCTGGGAAATGCTGCTGTTGCCACTCAAGGTTCTGAAGGTCCAGGTCGTCTGTGAAAAATGGACACTGAGCAGCCAAAAGGAGGAACCTGGCCGCTATAGTTTGGATCTTCCCTGCCCCTCAAAGCCCAGTGTGTTGAAGTCTTGTTCCCAGGCCCAAGGTGCCAGTGAGAGGAGTGGAACCTTCAGGAGGGGACCACAGCTGGTTCCTGTTCCTCTCTCTCCTTCCCAGTGGCCTCTTCCTGCAGATTCCCGCCCTGATACACGGTACTGCTCCAGCACAGGTGCAAAACTACAATGCCAAGTGACCATGGACCAAAACATCTGAAACCAGAGCTAAAATAAATCTTTACTTCTTTAAATCCGTTATCTCAGGTATTTTATAACAGTAACAGAAAGCTACCGTACCAGCTGTGTGTCACTCAGCACAAGATGTCTAACGGGACTCAGGCATTCAATGAGTGTTAACGAAAATGGTCTTTGTGAAGATTAGATGATAACTTGTGAAACAACTGGAAATGTGTCTACTCTTTAACTCACTGGTTACTGTATTTGGGTTGGATTGAGGATGCATTAGAGTACACAAAATTGCATGCACGAGGTTACTTAGGGTGCTTGTTATAGTAAAACATAAAAATAAAAGGAAACCTGAATCCTTTAAATAATGTTAAGACAGTGTCTGGCTGTTCAGTCAAACTTCAGGATAGTAATTACAAAAATTAAAATGGCTATCGGTTACCGACTGCTTTCTACTGGCTAAGTACTGCTCTTAGCGCTTTATGTTCAACTTTAGTGCATAATATATTTAATCTCCACCATAATCCTATGAAGGAAGAATTATCATTGCTCCTATTCTACATAAGAAAAAATAATATCACAGAGGATGAACCATCTGTCCAAGTCACACAGCTTCTACCACACAGTGGGGGAAGACGAATTCCAATCCACGTGGCTGTCTGAGGCTCCATTCTTAACAAAGCTGCAAAACTGTCTCAACACCTATCTCTCAGGGATAACAAAGGAGATCATCTACATGGGTGGCCTAAGTTCTTCGAAGCAGCCACATGTGTGCTAAGATCCTGCAGACTGACCTCAGCTGAGTAGAACATGGTGACTGAGAGACGGAGTGCTACAGGTGCAGAGCTCAGATTATCCTGGGCTATCGCAAGAGCTCTGGAAAACCAGCCACTTATTTTAACATTTGTTATCTGACCTCACATTCTCCTATGAGGTAAACGTTCTGGAATGTATCGCTCAGCTTAATAGAACTCCAGTCTCCACCAACCCTAAGGCGAAGAGTGGGATAATACCTGATTTCTATAGGAAAGATTTCCTCCTTTGCAACAGGCTGCCTACCTGATGCCAAATTTAACTATTTGTTAAATGTAGTAATGCCTCTCTTTGTTCTCTGGCTATAAGAATTCGTATAACCTCCTTCCAGTCAGAACATGTCACTAAAGTATCTTGAATCTGCCTTCCTAGGTCATGGTCACTCATGTTTGGCTCAGAATAAACGATTTTCTTCTTTACTGTAAAGCAGAATTCTTATTTTGTCAACACATACAACAAAGATGGACAGCGATGAGGGTTGCTCAATAAGGAGAATGTATGTACTCAAAATGCTACTGAATTTCACACTCAAAAGGGGTTAAAACGGTAAAGTACATGGGATGGACACTTTGCCACAATAAAGTTTAAAATGGTACAATACATACATACTTATATATGCACATACATCAGGTATACAGAAAATGATTCTGAAGGATGCGCAACAAAGGACTGCCAGTAAATACCTCCAGACAGTGGGGCCATGGTGATTTTACTTTCTTTTTTATGTATGCTGTGATACTGTAAAATACATATTTAGTCTTCATCCCGATTTCCTGGCACACAGCTCCCAAAATTCTTAAAATCGTCAAAGTGATAATCAGTCTCTGTTAACTCCTGGCTGAGGCTCCCGGCGAGCATCAGGATAGGGGCTGAGGGGAACCTGGCCAACGATTTAATCAACCTTGCCTATGCAGTGCAACCTCCCGAAGAACCCAGCAGCACTGAGAAAGCCGGACCGCTGAATACACGGAGCTTCCCGAAGGGTGGCGGAGCCTGAGAGGACTGGGAGCTCCACACCCCATGTCTCACTCCTGTCAGAACGGAGGTGAATTAAAGGACACCAGCTGGGGTCTCCATCTGCAGCACGACTTGCTTGGTGGACAAACCCCTTACCTTGGTATGAGAAGTGTTAGGAGAGTGTTGGTATAGGAGAAACTGAGTTTGGTTTTCTATTCATATTTTTTATACTCTAAAATTTTTAATGTGAGCATATAATACATGTATGATAAGATAATATATTGGCATATGAGGCGAATATAGGAAATGATGTTTCCCCTCAAAGAACTTACAATCCAACTGGCAGACAAGGAAAATGCATGAAATAGTGTGAACCACGGAAGAGAGCTATGTAGGGACCTGGGCTTAACTCAGTGGTAGAGCACTTGGGTGGCATGCCAGAGGCGCTACTACGATCCCAGCACCGAGGGGTAAAAAAGTGGTGTACCTGAGCAAGCAGAACCATGTGACACCTTCTACTTTAATCTTCATTAGAGACAAGAAAAAGAAAACTGAGATCCAGGCAGATGAGACCCCAGATCACATGCTTTACTAGGGCAGGAGCAGGACCATAACTGAAACTTCCCAATTTCGAACCCAGCTCCCACTCACTTCTTTCTGATCTTAACCCTCCATCACTGAGTGTGACACAGTGGAGCACACGGCACCGACACATGGTCAACGGGCATGAACAGAGAGATGCACTAGGGCATTCTCGTGGATGGAGAAGGGATGGAGAAGGTCTAGACAGGAGAGCAACTTGGCCTTGCTGGAATGCAGTCAAAAAGCCTTGAAGGAAATGGTGCTGCTCAATCAGAGGATGGCAGATCCAGGCCACTGCCTCAGATCCAACCCCACCACACTTGTGGGGCCAAAGACAATGCCAAAATTGGCAAAGTGCCCTGCTACCATGTGACTGGGGCTGCCATGCTCTCCAAGGTGAAGCAGTGGAGCCACTGGAGGATTTAAGCCCGGATTGGGGGCCAGGTGCACGGAGCCTGAATGTGAGTTACTTGACTTCTTTGAGCTTCAGTGTCCTCATATGTATGTAAAATGAGGAATAACTGCCCTCCTGTATTGAGAACTAGAAATATCCTGCAAAGTGTTACGGTTTATATATAAAATATCCCCCCAAAGCCTCGTGTGTTCCCAGGTGGGGCTTTTAAGAGTAACTGGATCATGGGTGTTTTATAACTAGATCAGCCCGCTCATTGGTTTAATACAGTACTGGGTGATGGGGTTGCTGGCGAAGGGAGTTCCACCCGGGCTTTGGGTGACACCAACCAATAGGCTTGCACCGTGGACAGAACAAAAAGGACAGAATGAAGCCTTGCTGCTTTCTGCCTGCCCTTCTGTGGACTGTTTCTCCTCTTTCAGGTCTCTGCCATGCCACCCTGCCTTGGAGCCAGCCGACTATGGACTGAAACCTCTATAAACCGTGATCCAAAATAAACCTCTACTTCTTTAACTTGTGGTTGTATTTTGTCCCAGTAATGAAAAAGTAACTAAAACTCAAAATCTCAACATATTTCTTTTCAATTATTAGATGAAGATGAATGAAGGAGGAGGAGTTTCTGGTTCCTAGAAACACTGGAAAGTAGTTTCTGTCAACATCCACACAGTATTATTTAGCTGCCACAAACACCACACCGTGAGCTATTACCACCTGCCAGGCCTTGATCTAAACACTCTCCAGGCACTAACTCAAGTCGGCCTCTCTCCTCGCCTAGCGCTAGGCACAGCTGTTCTTTGGATCTTACAGGCGAGATGGAATTATTTGCCTTCGGCCTACAAACAGCAACAGAGGAGAGGAGTTAAAACATGTCCTCTGGGGGCCAGGGATTTAGCTCAGTGGGTCCAACGCCTGCCTCACAATCGCAAGGTCCCGAGTTCGATCCCCGTTACCAAAAGACAAAGTCCTCTGGCTTGGGAGCCCTCACTTCTAACCACTGGGTGCACTGCTTCTCCATCACCGATATCCCATGAAACCCTCCTGTGGCTTCCTGTGGAGTCTTCCCTTTGCCCTCAGAGGAAAAGTCCTCTCCCACTGTGTCTCCTCAACATAGCTATCCTTTGTTGACACAGCGTCTCACCTAAATGGGTGCCTCTCTTGCACCCCAAAATAAAGATGAAAACGGCAGGTCAAGATCAGCTTTCGTGAGTGTTACAGGCAAAGTAAATGATCTTCAAGGTGAGAGGAAGAAAAAAACAAAACAGTGGGCTGCAGAAGCTAGGGAGAAGTACTGTGAGAACTCCCAGGAGTTAAAAGAATCATTCTTGGCAAGGACAGGAAGACATGGATGAGTCAAAGCAGCAGGGCCAGAAAGAAATTTTCCCAGGTGTGCAAGTTTTTCTGTCCCTAATGATAGGACACCTGGCTTCTAAACTGTCAAATTAGTTATCAGACAGTGATTCGTCGTCTGATGAATCCCTGAGATTAGTGAGCAAAGTGTGCCTATCAAGAACAGAAAAGCGAACACTACATGTGGATGAGTGTGGGCAGTGCTTCCTACATCACCCATGAGTGACCAACGCATCCAAGGTGAAAGGACGTGCGCTGCAAATCCCGGGGAAGGCTGTACTGGGTAGAAGTCTTCAGCAAGGGAAGAAACAACAAAGCCCATCCATTAAGAATTGAGATGGGGCCGGGGATTTAGCTCAGTGGTTCCAGTGCCTTCCTTACACGCTCAAGGTCCCGAGTTCAATCCCCGGTTAAAAAAAAAAAAAAAATTGAGATGGCAATGAGCTCACCTGAGCCCTTGCTTCCTTCCGCTTATTAGCCATGTCCTCTTTCTGGGCTCTTCCCCCTGGATGGCTGTGGTCTCCAGAAAGTAGATCTGAGAGAAGAAAAAGGTATCAGGAGAAAAGCCCTTTCCACTTTCCCCTCAGAATCAGCATCTCTGACATCCTTCCACCGCCCAAGAAAGACCAGATGTGTCCTCAGAGAGGGAAAGCAGGAGAGGCTGGGGCTGGACAGAGGCAGAGGTAAGGGCTGAGGCCAGCTGGCTCCAGACCCTCATTCTTCTTGCCTCAGGGAATTCCCAGAAGCGAGACCTGGTGAGGATGCTGCCTGCCATAAACTGCAGGGACTCACTGAGCCTCACTACATGCCAGGCACTGCTTACTGTTTGGTCCCACAGCCTGCTGGCATTGGAAACTAAGGGCAGGAAACCGAGGGCAGTGTGGGGGCCACCTGTTCCTGTTCACACAGCCAAGGAGAGTGGCACCAGCATCCAACCCAGGAGGGAACCTGAGATCTGCTCTACTGTCACTATCCAGCCCGTGACAGTTTTCCTGAACCTCAAGCCTTTCCATCCAACGTCTGTCTCTTGTCAAGGAATCCATTTCCAGAGTTTTAGAGAAAACCGTTTCAGAAAATTATAACATAGGGTTGCCTATTGCGCTAAGATGGAAAAAATAGAGGTCGAGAGGAGACAAAGAAAACCAAAATTTGAAAGTATATAGTCCTGAACACAAACAAACAAACAAACAAACAGCTCCAGGACACCAGGTTAGAATTTTTCCCCTTCCAAGCCACTCCTAAATTCCTACGTCTTAAAAATACAACAGCCTGGGCCACTGGGCCGTGCCTTTCACCTGGAAGCAGAGCCCTGCTCCTGCCCCTCCGGGGATGCGCGATTCCAGGCCCCAGCCGGGTCCGCACTGTGCCCCAGCCCGAGCCTGTGCGCCTTCCGAGCGCGGACTCCCTGATAACCCGAGGCCCGTCCTGGTGCTTCCCGGCCCAATCGGGGACCTCGGCGGTGGCGGCGGTGGGCTGGAGTCGTCTTTGGGCGCTCCCGGGACCCTGTCCGGGGACACGAGGACATGGAGGGGACCCGGCACGGAGGCCCAGACCCGAGCTCCGCTCCCGGCTCTGCACGGGGCCAGCGCGGCTCCTCCGGAAGCCGGCTTGACCCCGCCGCACGGCCCGACCGACCGAGGCCCCGGGAGCGGGCCGGGCCAACCCGGACGGAGCGTGGGCCCGGCGCGTCCAGGGACAGCACGGGCTCGGGGCGGCGGCGGCGGCGGTGGCGGGCAGGTGACAGCCGGGGCCGCCCGCGCCACAGAGGCCCCGCCGTCTCGCGGGGCTGCTCCCGCACCGAGTCCGGCCGGCCACCGCTCACCTCCCGACTCGGTCCCGGCCGAGCCTCGCCGGGACGCGCTCCGCAGGGGGAGGAGCCGGCCTTCCCGCCTACCGCAGCCCGGCGTCGGGCCCCGCCTGCCCAGCGACCTCCGCCTGGGAGCCACGCTCCCTGAGGCCCAAGCTCCGCGGCCCTCGGAGGCGCTGAGGGGCGGGGAAGGGGCGGGGCCCGGCGGCCGCTGGTGCCTCTGGGAAATGGAGTCCTCCTGGGCCCGCAGCATTCGGGGAAGTGTAGTTCTGGTGCCTTTGTCGGCGTAGGGGGGGACCTAGCTGCGTCCACCTGGAGCCCAGACTCCCCAGGAGGCTCCCTGGAGCGCTCTTGGGCATCTGTCGCCTTCCTTGAGCTGCAGAATCTTGGATTCCAGGAACTGAACTTAGGTTCATTGCGGGGAGTGTCTTGTAGCTCTGCGTTTGTGTGAATGATGGTGTGGCCACCAGGCAGTGGCCCACAACAGACCCATTTCCCCTGCGATTACTCAGTAAAACAGCACCAAACACCTGCTACGTGCCGGGCACTTATGTGCCAGGCAATTAAGCGGTTTGACATACGTCAGTGAACAAAATGAATATTATTGTCCTGGAGTATGTTTTGTTAAAGTGTCAAGGAGCAGAGTATGAGTGAAGCTCCTAATCACGTGGCTTTTAAAGAGTTGATAAGTGTCGCGAGAAAAAGCAAAAGAGGAACAGGGTTGGGGCTATCTGGGGCCATTTGGGTGTGAGTCGGGTGGCCTAGGCTGGTGAGAATGGAGCAAAGATTCTGGGGCAGTGAGGCGAGGGGGGAAGGGGGGGGGGTCATTCCAGGTACTAAGAAGTCAAGTGGAAAAGAAATTGATGTAAATGCTTCCAGTTACAAGAAAAACACAGGGGGAAGGTTTGATTGACAAGTACCAAAGAG